CCTCAGGAATTTCATTTGTCTGTTCTTAGGTACTTCATTTCTAATATGTCCAAAACTGAATTATTACCATTCCTTCAAAACTGTTCTTCCTCTTCTAATCCCAATAAGGACTGCCAAGCAATTTCCCTGGGATGGGGGAGTCCCCAATGGTCCCCTTCCTACTTTATTAAACTAGTTCCATGTTTTTTCTGAAAATCTTTCACTTAAAACACTATTCCTTGGGGTGCCTGAATGGCTCAGTTGGTTAAACATTCAGCTCTTGGTTTCGGCTCGGGTCATGATCTCACAGTTTGTGAATTTGAGCTCTGTATCAGGCTCTGCATGTTGAGATGTCTCTCTTCCACTGTCTCTGTCCTCCCTGGTGCTCTCTCTCTCTCAAAAGATAAATAAATAAACATTTAAAAGAATTTTTAAAAAATGATTAAAAAGCTATACTGCCAAAACAAATTAATCCTGAAACGTTACTGGTTTAATATAAGAAAAGTTTATTTCTCATTCATGAAGATTCCAGGATTGGTTGGGCAACTCTTCAAAGCAACTACTGTTGATTTTTATTATTTGCAGTAGTTATGTTCTATAAAGTTGCCACAAACACTGAATTAACAATTATTAAACCATTGCTCCTGAGAGAAATATGGAGTTAGCCTCTGGTCACAACAGATGGATACAAAACCTTGTTTTATATATTGTGTTTTATGTAAGGTGTTTCTGTTTGAAGACTGTTTATTTAATATATGTTGTTGATTTATTAGCAGTGACCTTTCTGTTAACACCACTACAACTCATGCATAAATAAAACTTATCTATCACATATTTTCTCTCTAAGGCACATCACAGCCTTCCTTTTCATGAAAAGGACACATATTTATATGTGCCTATGAGAAGGCAGTGAAATATTTCCTTGTTTTAATATTAATCTCAGCTAGGAATGTGGACATCAGGTTACTCAAGTTTTTCACCACTCTGCATATGCCTGTGAGTGATTATGAAAATACCACAAGTATATGGGCGTCTGGGTGGCTCAGTCAGTTATGTGTCTGGTTCTTGATTTTGGCCAAATCATGATCTTGTGGTTATGAGATCAAGCTCCACTCATGCTCAGTGATGAGCCTGCTTGATTCTCTCCCCTTGGGGCACCTGGATGGCTCAGTCAGTTTTTCAGATCAAGTCATTATATCATGGTTTGGTTTGTGGGTTCAAGCCCTACATTGGGCTCTGCACTGACAGCATGGAGCCTGTTTGAGATTCTCTCTCTCCCTCTCTCTCTGCCCCTCTCTCCTCTCTCTTTCTCTCAAATTAAATATTAAAAAAAAAAACATTTTATTGCCCTCCCTCTCTGCCCCTCCCCCTCTCTCCTGATCACACACTTTCTCAGAAAGAAAGGAAGGAAGGAAGGAAGTGAGGGAGGGAGGGAGGAAGGAAGGAAGGAAGACAATACCACAAATATTGATTTTGGGGTCACAAATTTTAATGATTTTAAATTTTAATAGGTTAATTCACAACTACAGAACTCATAAATAAAGAAAATGATTGTAAATATTGTGTGATAATTTGGAGCTTTAGGCTACTTGGCCTTGTGAAACTGCCGTCTCAACTTGTGGTTTCTTTTTTTCTAAAAAAATTTTAAAATGTTTTATTTATTTCTGAGAGAGAGAGATAGCGTGAGCAGAGGAGGGTCAGAGAGAGAGGGAGACACAGAATCTGAAACAGGCTCCAGGCTCTGAGCTGTCAGCACAGAGCCCAACATGGGGCTCAAACCCACAAACTGTGAGATCATGACCTGAGCTGAAGTCGGACCCTTAACCAACTGAGCCACCCAGGCGCCCCTCTTTTTCTTTTTTAAATGTTTATTTATTTATTTGGAGAGAAAGTGAACACACACATGAGTGGAGGGAGGGGCAGAGACAGAGGGAGAGAGGGAATCCCAAGCAGGCTCCGTGCTGTCAGCCCAGAACATGATATGGGGCTCAATCTCACAAACCTTGATATCATGACTGGAGGCGAATTGACTTGGACACTTAACCAGCTGAGCCAACCATGTGCCCTTTTTTTCTTTTTATACTAATTTATTTTACATTTTAAAGAAGAATACAACTTATTTATTTATGTTTGCTTCTTGTATAAGATTTTTAAAATTTTTTATATTTTATTTAAATCAAAGTTAACATATAATAACGATTTCAGGAGTAGAATTTAGTGATTTATCACTTATATATAGTAACCAGTGCCCTCCTTAATCCCCATCATCCATTTAACCCATCCTCCCACCCAACACCCCTCCAGCAACCCTCAGTTTGTTCTCTGTATTTAAGAGTCTCTTATGGTTTGCCTCCCTCTGTGTTTTTATCTTATTTTTCCTTGCCTTCCCCTATGTTCCTCTGTTTTGCTTCTTAAATCCCTGTGAGTGAAATCATATGATATTTCTCTTTCTTTGACTTATGCAAATGGCAAAACTTCATTCCTTTTGACTGCCAAGTAATATTCCATTATATATATAATCCATTTTATGTGTGTATATATATAATATGTAATATTATATATAATATATATAATATATAATAAACATACCACATCTTCTTTATCCATTCATCAGTCAATGGACATTTGGACTCTTTCCATAATTTGGCTATCGTTGATAGTGCTGCTATAAACATTGGGGCACATGTGCCCTTTCAAATTAGCATTTTTGTATCATTTGGATAAATACCTAGAGTGCAATCATTGGGTCTAGAATAGTTCTGTTTTTAATTTTTTGAGGAACACTCATACTATTTTCCAGAGTGGCTGCACCAGTTTGAATTCCCAAGAAGAGTGCAAAAGGGTTCTCCTTTCTCCACATCCTCACCAACATCAGTTGTTTCCTGAATTGTTAATTTTAGCCATTCTGACAGGTGGCATCTCATTGTGGTTTCGATTTGTGGGAATAATACAATTTAAAGCAAGAGTTAAAGTACAATACCTAGCTACAATTAGGTAATTCACTGAATTAAGTAATTTGAATATTCTCAATAATTGAATCCCCTGTTTCTTAGTCATACATTTGATACCCTCTTTTATTTATTTATGCAGATTATCTTTATTTTACATTCTAAATCTGAAAAACACTTTTAGTCCTTCGAGTCTGATTCTGTTAATTATTATTTCTGCTAACTGTTATTCATGATGGCTAGTTTTCTCACATGCTTTATATTTTCTGATTGTGAGTTAATTGTTGTAAATTTCTCTTGTTATTCATTGAAGTCTATGTGTGTTTTTTTAAAGATTTTTTTCTATATTTATTTTTGAAGGGGGAGGGGCAAAGAGAGAGGGATAGAAAGAATCCCAATCTGACAGCACAGAGCCTGACGCAGGGCTTGAAATCACTAACCATTAGATCATGATCTGAGCTGAGATCAAGAGTTGAATGCTTAACTGACTGAGCCACCCAGGTGCCCCTGAAATCTGTGTTTTAAGTTGGATTCCTGCAGAATAGACTTACATTTGTTTCTTTCAGGTACCTAAGGACACATAGGTAGCATACACATAGTCTGAAGCTTTGGTGGCAACAGGATTGCTTAACCAACTGCTTGTTCCATCATCATGTGGACTGCCAAGAATTTTCCAGCCTGGATTGAGGGAGTACTCATTGTTTCCTTCCCTGTTTGAGCCTACTAGTTTCATACTTGTTCTAAGGGTCTTTCAGTCAAGACACTACTTCTTGGTAAAAATTTCTGTGTTAATTAGGACTCTTTAGTTTCAAATAAAATAATACATATTGAGCTAGTCTAATAACAATAGTAGTAATGTTTAGTGAAAGTTTATTTTGTAGCAGTGCCTGGCACAGGATAGGTACTTACTCTTTGTTGGATGAATGCCACACTGTGCTAAGTATTTTAAATACATTATCTAATTTAATCCTCCTTTTTATAGAAAAGAACATTGTGACATAGAGTGGTTTAGAAATTGCCCAAGATGCGGGGCGCCTGGGTGGCTTAGTCGGTTGAGCGTCCGACTTTCGCTTAGGTCATGATCTCGCGGTTCGTGGGTTCGAGCCCCGCGTCGGGCTCTGTGCTGACTGCCAGCTCGGAGCCTGGAGCCTGTTTCAGTCTGTGACTCCCTCTCTCTCTGACCCTCCCCTGCTCGCGCTGTCTCTCTCTCTCTCCTAGAAATAAATAAAAACATTTAAAAAAAAAAAAAAAAAAAAGAAATTGCCCAAGATGCACAACTGGTAAGCACTGGAGGCAAGATGTGAACCCAAGCCATCTCATTTTTTGGGTGCACTATTAGCAAAAAATAATTTATTATAAGAGTGTTGTTACAGAACCAAGGGCAGAAATTCAAATGAATTGCAGGATGGGCTGGAAGCAGGAGATAGAAAACTATTGGGAATCCAGGCCATACTTTTCCTTTGATTCTCCTCTTTGCTTTTCAGACTAGATGTGGTAACTTTGATAGGCAAAGGGAAAATATTGGCAAAGGGATGCAATAGATAATTTCACTGATTCTAACTTCTGATTTCCCTTGGAAAACCCTAGCAGTGTCCTCAGCTTTGGTGGCCTGGCCAAGCCATTCCATTTTGGGGGCCCTCAAGTTCCTCATTTATAAAACGAATTTTTTTTAACCACGGGATTCCTCAGGTCTCTTCCAGTTCTAAAATTCTAAGATCCTAAGTGAACCTTTTAGGGCAGAAGCTCATTAATAATATATTTGAATGTGTGGGTTTGGGGGGATAGAATAAAGGGAGGTTCTAAGGAGAGAGGGACAGAATAATAGTTTGAGTGGAGCCTCAGTGTTGAATTACTATTTAGAGCTGGTGTCAGGTAAAGGCCTTTGGAGATATATAAATGGAGGACAGAAAAGACTTCTCACCTTGATCAGACCAGAGTATTTTGAATGGTTGAATGGGATCTCTCTAATCTGTGAGCAGTTCTCTCCTTCTCTCTCTCTCTCTCTCTCTCTCTCTCTCCCTCTCTCCCTCTCTCTCCCTCTCTGTATGTGTGTGTGTGTATGTATGTGTATGTGTATGGATAAGCATGTGCACATGTGTGCATGCATGGGTGTGTGCGTGTGGGAAGTAGCCCCCTTGCACAGTGATTTAATCTGGCTTATCTCTTTTCTCAGCTCAGAATTTTCTATAGAGCATTGACCTAGGTTACAGGAAGATGACCATAGGGCAAACCCAAACATTTGAATGGCTCAATGAGCAAGTTGCACATCCATAAAATGAGAGGTTTGGTCTTTGTAACCTCTGAAGTCCTGCCCCATTTTTAGCATTTTATGGTTCTAGGTACTGAGTCAAAAGTGGCTCTCCTCTTCTGGAATGCTCTGTCCTTGGACCAGACATTTGTCTTCATTCCTCTTCTCTATTCATACCTGGCTTCCCAGTTCCTTTGTCTGGGCCCGTTTCTTCCTTGATTTCTCCAAATCCTACTTGCTTTTTAACTCTTTTGTACCCTCTATGCTTTGTTAAATTTTTCTGCATCCCTACTTCCCACCACATTATACCCCTGGTTTCCAGGTCTCCCCTTCTATGTCTGCCCATTCCTATCTGCATCCTGGTTCTTAACTGAAGCTATCTCCCTGGGCTCCTCCGAGGGCCCCCCCTGGGATCCCCTATCACTGGTCCCTCTCACAGAAGCACACCTTTCTCCAAAGCCAAAGGATCAGGTATTCAGTGGCTCAGGTGACAAACCTCCTGTCAAGTTACAGATATTGTTCCCTGAAAGACCACACTACAGTGTCAGTGGCAACTCAGGCTGCCTGCAGTGCTCTGCCCTCATCTGGCTATCCCATACAAGGTGAGAATAAGCAGAACTCACCTCTTACTGGTGCTCACCTGGAAACATGGCTCTGAGCCTCTGGCCCCTGCTGCTGCCGCTGTCCTGTACAGGTAAGAGGAACAGTGAACAGGGTCGGGGATGAAGGGGATGGTTACTGAAAAGAGACTTAAGAATGCACAGATTAACTAGTTTCTATAAAAGATAAAGGAAAATGGTCAGAGACTGGAGCTAAGGGAGAAAACGAGGGTTAAGAAAGTAGGCCAAGACTTACTATAGACCAATTCAATAAAGGGACTTAGCTCACCATTCCCTTCGGCTCATCTTTAGATCCCAGCTAGGACTGGGCTCTGGGGCAGGGCTGAATTGGGTTCTTGGCTCTTCCCCTTTAGTGACCTCTGGTTTCTCTTCTTACAGTGATTCTGGTCCCTACTGGGATTCAGTCCCTGGACCCTGGTCTCTCCCTCCTGAAGTCATTGCTCTCCACAATGGACCAGGCTCCCCAGGGGTCCCTCAGCCGCTCACAGTTCTCTGCATTCCTGGCCAACATTTCTTCTTCCTTTGGGCCTGGGAGAATGGGGGAGGGACCTGTGGGGGAGCCCCCACCTCTCCAGCCCCCTGCCCTCCGCCTCCATGACTTCCTGGTGACACTGAGAGGCAGCCCAGACTGGGAGCCAATGCTAGAGCTACTAGGGGATGTGCTGGCACTGCTGGGACAGGAACAGACTCCCCGGGACTTCCTGGGACACCAGGCAGGTGTTCTGGGCGGACTCGCAGAGGTGCTGCTAGGAGCCTTAGTCCCTGTGGGGCCCCCAGCCCCAACGCGGCCCCCGTGTACCCGTGATGGGCCCTCTGACTGCGTCCTGGTGGCTGACTGGTTGCCTTCTCTGCTGCTGTTGTTAGAGGGTACACGCTGGCAGGCCCTGGTACAGGTGCAGCCCAGTGTGGAACCCACAAATGCCACAGGCCTCGATGGGAGGGAGCCCACTCCCCACTTTTTACAGGGTCTTTTGGGTTTGCTCACCCCAGTAGGGGAGCTGGGCTCTGAGGAGGCTCTTTGGGGAGGTCTGCTGCGCACAGTGGGGGCCCCCCTCTATGCTGCCTTCCAGGAGGGCCTTCTCCGTGTCACTGACTCCCTACAGGATGAGGTCTTTTCCATTCTGGGGCAACCAGAGCCTGATGCCAATGGGCAATGCCAGGGAGGTAAGTGTCACTGGGTCTGGGTCTGGGCTGTGGCAGGGCAAAGAAGGGGTGACATTGGGGTATTCCTCTTCCTTACTCTTTCCCTCCTAGGCAACCTTCAGCAGCTGCTTTTATGGTAAGTAACTCTCTTACCAGGAGAGGAGTTCTGAGGGAGTGGGCCTGGAAAGTCGTCAGCCTCCAGAATGGAGGAGGAGACTGATGGGAGGGTGGTGTTTTGTGGTTTTGGAGCATAACTATCTGGGTTAGTGTCCCAGCTCTATGTTCACCTTGCCAAGTGACCTTGGGGTGGTTACATTCTCATTCTCATGCCTCAATTTTCCTTCTTACAAAATATAGATGATATTAACCACCACAGAGTTGTTGAAAGGGATCGAATGGGTTGATACTGTATGTGTAAGCCACTCAGAACTGTGTCTCACACAGAGTGCGTAATAAATGTTACCTAATAAAGATGGGGTATGGAAAAAAAGGATGAGACTGGATTCTTCCATCCTTTACTGTTTCAGTACAACAATGCCAGAGCACAGGTAGACTTATTCAGTTGCTAGGCAGATTTCCTGATGTGAGACCAACCAAGGGTTATATTTAAGCTACCTAAAAGTGTATGAAGGAGAAAAGAGGGAACCAGGTAGACAGAAGGGACTCCAGCTTGGCTGCTCCTAGATGATTTTGTGCTTTGGCAGGACAGATCTTTCTCCCATTCCTACTCCCCCAGTATTTACACCAGTAACAGTACTCCCAGGGACCTTTTGGAAAAGCCTTTGCTTGCCACCACCACCACCCCCCCCCCCCCCCCCCCCCCCCCCCCCCCCCCCCCCCATACAGGGCTCTGGGCCAGGGTCAGAATGTTCAACTAGAGGAAATGTAAACTGACCAGATGATGCCTGCTCCTCCCTCTACACCCAGGGGCATCCGGCACAACCTTTCCTGGGATGTCCAGGCGCTGGGCTTTCTGTCTGGATTGCCACCCCCACCCCCTGCCCTCCTCCACTGCCTGAGCACGGGTGTGCCTCTGCCCAGGGCTTCCCAGCCCTCAGCCCACATCAGCCCTCGCCAACGGCGAGACATCTCTGTGGAGGCCATCTGCGAGAACAACTCAGGTCCAGCACCACCCTACAGCATTTCCAACTTCTCCATCCACTTGCTCTGCCAGCACATGAAGCCTGCCACCCCGCAGCCCCCTCCCAGCACCATTGCCATCTGCCAGACAGCTGTGTGGTATGCAGTCTCATTGGCACCAGGTGCCCATGGCTGGCTACAGGCCTGCCATGACCAGTTTCCTGATCAGTTCCTGGAGGCATTATGTAGCAACCTCTCCTTTTCAGCTCTGTCTGGCCCCAACCGCCGCCTGGTAAAGCGGCTCTGTGCTGGGCTCCTTCCACCCCCCACCAGCTGTCCTGAAGGTCTGCCTCCTGTTCCCCTCACCCCAGAGATCTTCTGGGGCTGCTTCTTGGAGAATGAGACCCTGTGGGCTGAGCGGCTGTGTGGAGAGGCAGGTCTGCAGGCTGTGCCCCCCAGCAATCAGGCTTGGGTTCAGCATGTGTGCCAGGGGCCTACCCCAGATGCCACTGCCTTCCCACCCTGCCACATTGGACCTTGTGGGGAGCGCTGTCCAGATGGGGGAAGATTCCTGATGATGGTCTGTGCCAATGACACCATGTATGAAGCCTTGGTGCCTTTCTGGCCTTGGCTAGCAGGCCAGTGCAGGATAAGTCGTGGGGGCAATGACACTTGCTTCCTAGAGGGGCTACTGGGCCCTCTTCTGCCCTCTCTGCCACCACTGGGACCATCCCCACTGTGCCTGGCCCCAGCCCCCTTTCTGCTTGGCATGTTATCCCAATTGCCACGCTGTCAGTCCTCTGTTCCGGCCCTTGCCCACTCCACACGCCTACACTATCTCCTGCGCCTGCTGACCTTTCTCCTGGGTCCAGGGGCTGGGGGGACTGAGGCCCAGGGGATGCTGGGTCAGGCCCTGATGCTCTCCAGTCTCCCAGACAACTGCTCCTTCTGGGATGCCTTCCGCCCAGAGGGTCGGCGCAGTGTGCTGCTGACCGTTGGGGAGTACTTGGAACAGGAGGAGCAGCTGACCCCACTGGGCTTTGAACCTCCTGCCAGACCCAGCTCTGGTATAAACAAGATGGAGCTGCTGGCCTGCTTCAGCGTGAGTGATCTGCCAAGGTGAAAGCCGCTGGAACAGAGGGCAGGGCCTCCAAATGAATTCTCTAATACTGAGTGGTAGTAAGTAGTAAAGTATAGTCGTTTAAGCACACAGCTCTGGAGTCAGACAGGCCTGAGTTCACATCTTAGTTCTGTGATCAACATTGGACCAGTTATTTAACCTCTCTGAGCAATATTTTTTTTAACAATAAATGAGAGAAAATAACAGTGTCACTTTTTTAGGGTAGCTGTAAGAATTATATAAGATAATATATGCTGTGGGCCTATGTATATAGCATGACACATAAACATGCAATAAATGTTGTCTCATTATTCTTTCTGATTCTTTTCTTTTCTGCTCTAGAAAGGAAAGATATCAAGTTGGAGGGATCTGACTCTGTCCCTAGAGAGTGAGAATTGGAGGCTGGCTAATATAAGTAGATAAGGCAGAAATGAGAAAACTTTAGGGAAACTGCAAATCAAAAGACTTGGGTTCTGGGTTCAACTATGTCACAAATTAGTGTAGTAGGAAAATAATTTAATTTAGGTTTTCTGGGCTTCTGTTTCTTCTCTGTAGAGTGAAGGGGCTAGAATATATAAATACCATAATTCATTCATTGGGTGCCCCATTATATGTAAGGCACTTTGCTAGGTTATGTTATGTAAAGATTCCTTACTCCATGTTAGGGCCCACCTTTCTCAAGCCCTGTGTCTGGTGAAATGGGATTAGACAGATTCATAGTTTTGGTTTGGATCTACAAGTATTTATTTATTGAGCCAACAATGGACTTGGCATGGAAAAAGGTACAGGAGAAGTTAGAGACATCATGCTGGCCTAAAAGAGTTTAATATCTGATGAGACACACATACTAGCTTTAGATGGACAGACATCTAACAAGTGGACTTGGAATACCTGGGGAAGCTTTAGGAGGACAGAGGAGACAGCTCTTGGCATCTTGTCTGTCTCCCCACCAGCCTGTGCTGTGGGATCTGCTCCAGAGGGAGAAGAGTGTTTGGGCCCTGCAGATTCTAGTGCAGGTAATAGATGGAGGGGCACATGGATGGACTGGGTAACAACTGCAGCCTTAGGTTTCCTGCCCAGTACTGCCCACAGTAACCTCCTACTCCCAGGCATACCTGCATATGCCACCGGAAAATCTCCAGCAGCTGGTACTTTCAGCAGAGAGGGAGTCTGCCCAGGGCTTCCTGACACTCATGCACCGTTCCTGGGCCCAGCTGCAGGTGGGTATAAGGGAGGAGGGAAAAGGGTGGAGGGAGATATCTAGGAATCAAGAGCACCTAGAACCTGGTGTGCAGAGGGCTTGCCCAGTGGAAGGAGGAGCTCGAGAGGAGATGGCAAGGATATTGAGGATCTCAAGAGCAAGCGTCCATTCCTGTGCCCCCACAGGTGCCACCATCTGAGGAGCAAGCCTTGGGTCGCCTGACAGCCTTGTTGCTCCAGCGGTACCCGCACCTCACCTCCCAGCTCTTCATTGACCTGTCACCGCTCATCCCCTTCTTGGCTGTCTCTGACCTGATGCGCTTCCCACCATCCCTGTTGGCCAATGACAGTGTGTAAGGACCCCACACCATTTCTCCTGATCTTGTCAGGGTCAGGTCAAGTCCATCAGCCTAGAGCAGCTTCTTCTTGAAATCTTCTCTGTTAAAATTAGGGAGAGTCTCCTTCTTATCCGTGACAGTGGGACTGTAGAGTGTGGGGGAACAACAGGGCTAAAGGTTAATATCCATTGCTCTCCCCAGCCTGGCTGCCATCCGGGATTACAGCCCAGGAATGAGGGCTGAACAGAAGGAAGCTCTTGCAAAGCGACTGCTGGCCCCTGATCTGTTCGGGGAAGTACCTGCCTGGTCTCAGGAGCTACTGTGGGCAGTGCTGCCCCTGCTCCCCCACCTCCCTCTGGAAAACTTTCTGCAGCTCAGCCCTCACCAGGTATGACATGATTTTCTTAACTTTACTAGCCCATCTTCTCCTAGGTGGGACAGGAGTCAGTAGCATGTCTCCTGGTGAGCTCTTTCCCACAAGTGTCCCACAGTGATCCCAACATGAGCTGACCCTCTTCATCTCAGATCCAGGCCCTGGAGGATAGCTGGCCAGCAGCAGGTCTTGGACCAGGGCATGCCCGGCATGTGCTACGAAGCCTGGTGAACCAGAGTGTCCAGGATGGAGAGGAGCAGGTGCGCAGGTGAGCAGTTGTAGGATCAGTGATCAAGGCCAAATTGGGAGAAAGGTTAGTGCAGCTGCCATGGTGGGTTGGGGGCCTAGGAAGGAAGGGGCAAGAAAGTAGGCAGTGGCCCCAGGCAGTATAGGGCTCCAGGACAGAGGCCTACATATGGTACTCATATTTCCTAGTTTAGCAGTCAGAGTGCCTACTCCATGTACCTACATGATCCCTACCTTAGTGCCAGCTTCAGTGACCACATGAAGGCCAGCTTCGTGCCCTTCTCAGGCTGGGGTCCCTCGCCTGTTTCCTGAGCCCTGAGGAGCTGCAGAGCCTGGTACCCTTGAGTGATCCAATGGGGCCAGTAGAACGGGGGCTGCTGGAATGTGCGGCCAACGGGACCCTCAGCCCACAAGGACGGGTGAGCCCCTTGGCACAGGCCTACAGGAGTCCAGGCTTTCCTTGGGTCTGTGTGAATGACATGCCCAGTCATCTCAACCAAGCTTGAACATAACAGTGCCAGCCCTCCCCCGACCTCTACCACCTCCATTCCCTTTTCCATGGTCATCCTTATCTGTTACCACTTCTTCCTGACCTGATGCCATTTGATCTATGACACCCCAAACATACCCTTTGACATTGTAAACCCTTTCTGTTCCTATCTCATCTTTGGTTCTAAGCCCTAGCCCTGGCCCTGGGAAATCCAGATATGGGATTAGAGAGGAAGTTTAAGGTTCACTTGTCTTTTCTCTCCAGTCCCAAACCTTCTTTGGTTACAGGTGGCATATGAACTTCTGGGGGTGTTGCGCTCATCTGGAGGAGCTGTGCTGAGCCCCCGGGAGCTGCGGGTCTGGGCCCCTCTCTTCCCTCAGCTGGGCCTCCGCTTCCTGCAGGAGCTATCAGAGCCCCAGCTTAGAGCTATGCTTCCTGCCCTGCGAGGCACCAGTGTCACACCAGCCCAGGTGGGCCTGTCTCACTGTCTAGCATCCACCTTCCATGCCCAGGAACCCACTCAAGAGAATGACATTCAGGGATCCACCAGCTTCCCTGGAGCCTCCCTTTTCTCTGCCCCAAGGAGGACTTCCTCATCCCCCTTCCTCAGATCAAGAAGAGCCCAGAGCCACACTAGTCACTGGGGGTGGTATAGAGGGAGCTAGGCCTTTTAGAGGGTAGGTCTTAGGGACCTGCTTAAAACCTGGCTACCAGGACCTGAGAGCTGTTGCTTCCTTTGCCATCCCACCTTAGGCTGTATTACTGCTTGGACGGCTCCTCCCTAGGCATGATGTGAGTAGCAGCAACTTCTCAACATCCCCAGAGGTCCCTGTCCCCCTTTCCTTGGTTCTTACATCTGCCCCTTCTTCCCTCTCAGCTCCTAAGACTGCTGCCTTGCTGTACTGTGATTGTTGTCATTCCAGCCACCCTGCCTCTCTTCTTCAGGACTCTTGTCTCTCTTGCTCCTCAGCTGTCCCTGGAGGAACTCTGCTCCTTGCACCCTCTGCTGCCAGGCCTCAGCTCCCAGACACTCCAGGCCATCCCTAGGCGAGTTCTGGTTGGGGCCTGTTCCTGCCTGGCCCCTGAACTGTCACGCCTCTCAGCCTGCCAGACCGCAGCATTGCTGCAGACCTTTCGGGTATGAGAGTAGCAGGGAAGATGAAACATTCAGGGATGTGGGCTCTGGTTAAGAGGAGGGCATCTTCCCTGCTGCGAGGGAAGTCCTCCCAAACGTCCCCACTTCCTTACACACACACACACACACACACACACACACACACACACACACTGCTGATTCTCATGCAGGTGAAAGACGGCGTTAGAAACATAGGTACAACAGGTGCCAGTGCAGCTGTGTGTATCCCTGGTCAGGTACGTGTGGGATCTCCCAACTAAGCTCCTCTCCATGTCTCAGGGCAGTTTCATATGGCTGGTGCTGCCTCATATACTCCCCTTGCAGTGGCCCTGAGAGTCCAGGTTGACTCTGTTTCCACCAAGGCATTAGCAGCTCTCCCCAGTTCCAGATACAGGACAGCATGACCCACACTGTCCTACAATGTCAAAACCAGAAGGGTCTGAGAAATCTTCCAGGCCAACCACCCTGCTTTCAGATAAAGAGACCAAAGTTCAGGGAGGCTAAGGGACTTCAGTTCATCAGGTGCCTACATAGCAGCAATACTTGACCACATCTGCCTTCATTGTGAGGGCTCTCAGGTGTGTGCTGCTATAGTGGCACATGCCATCCACCCTCACCCTAGCTTTGGTCTCTTCCTACTCCCGTGATTCCCCTCTTGCCTATCACTATTCTGCCACACACATCCCCACCAACAGCCCATCCCCACCACCTGGCCGGACTGCCTGCTTCCCCTGCTCCCACTAAAACTGCTACAGCTGGACTCCACAGCTCTTCTAGCTAACCGAAGGCGCTACCGGGAGCTGCCCTGGTCTGAGCAGCAGGTAATTCTCCCCATTTACCCCAGAACTGTCCTCTATGTTCCACCTCTTTTACCTGACAACCCTACATTGGGCATGTTATCCCCAGCATCCTTTGTAATGTGACTTGCTTTGCTTTATTCCTTCTCCCTCCTCTGTTTTCCTCCATTCTCCATGCCCCTCCATCTCTGAGAGAGAAGTGTGCATTTGGGAGAATAGGAGGCTGGTGGGACCCACAGGGTGGGGAGGGAGGGCTAGGTCCAAAGCATCTTAGGTTCTTGGGCAATATCTCTGCTGGGGGGCTGCTCCTCTTTCTTTCTGTTGTAGGCACAGTTTCTCTGGAAGAAGATGCAGGTGCCCACCAACCTGACACTCAGGAATCTGCAGTGAGTAACTTCTGTTGAGCAGTGAGTTTAAATCAACGAACATTTTTTTGAAGACTTGCGTATGCCAGGCCCCACTTGTTATGCAGTGGGACATGTGGGGATGAATGATGCATAGTCCCAACTTGTGGGCCTTCTCTTGATTCCTCCTCCCTTTACTTTCTTGCCCTCCCACAGCACCATACCTATCCTGACTAGTTTAAGGGATTCAGAAAGCCTAGGTTCAGGTCTCAGCCCTGACACCTGATCACAGCCTTGGGCGTCATTTATCTCTCTAAGCTTCAATTTTTTCTTCTGTGGAATGAAAGTTAAAATAGTACCTACCTCATAGGATGTGGTTATGAAGATTACATGAGGTAAGACATATAAGGTACTTAATACAGTTCCTGGCCCAGTGAAAGCTTCCAGTAGATATTTGCTGTTGTTAAACTTTAATCCAAAGTGACCTCAGAGCTAGTGGCCAAGCAGCAATAAATCACTTTACTTCCACCCACAGTAAAGCAATCATGAGCTTCAGAATCTAAAGATGTAGTGCAAGGCTCAGTTTACCATGTTTCTAATAAAATGATGTTCAGAACATCACTTGATCTCTGTGAATGTTTTATTTTCCTCTCTGATAAACAGTGATGATGTTATGGGGAAGCCAATGAGAATATCTATGGAAAAACATTTCTCAAACTGTAAATTACCATAAAAGAACTCCTGTACTTATGTTGAGAGTATTGATATCAAGGAGCCGACAGACTGGCATGTGTTGAATGAGCATCTACCCACTCACACACTTACAGGGCTCTGGGCACCCTGGCAGGGGGCATGTCATGTGAGTTTCTGCAACAGATCAACTCAATGGCAGACTTCCTTGAAGCAGTGCACATGATCTATCAGCTGCCCACTGGGGTTCGAGGGAGCCTGGTGAGAGGGGTACTTAAGCATCAATGGGAGCAGGGAGGCGGGGACCCTGGGTTCAGAATCCAGCCCCTGTGCTTAGCTCTCTCCTGTTTCCCCATCCTGTACTACAGAGAGCCTGTATCTGGTTGGAGCTACAGCGAAGAATGACAATACCAGAGCCAGAGCTGGCAACCCTGGGGCCAGAACTGAGTGGACTAGACACCAGGCTACTCTTGGATTTACCGTAAGTGCTTCGACTGGAGACACTCGATTCTTAGATGTCTCAACCTGGGGTAGAAGGTCTGCCCTTAGGAAATGCCCTTGCAGTGGTGGTTTTCCATCTGGTGGTTCTCTGACATCAGTTATAGCCCAAAGCAGAGGGTTCTACTCAAAGTTGCTCTATGTATTGACTGGCTCCCAGAACATGGCCCCAACATGGAACAGCTGATGGCGGGCAAAACTATGGTGTGGGCTGCCAAACAATCATAATATAACCTAGGCCACATTAATACAGATAGAGTATCTGAACTGAGGGAGTCAGTAGTCTAACTCTGCCTTAGAGGATGGTAGTCTGCTTAAGCCACCATGTTGTCAGCGTGTTCAGTGGAGCACAGAAAGAGAACGTGTATGAAACACGATGAATGCCTTCAAATATCCCCAAGGCTATCAAATAGAAAACAGACTGGAAACATATGTTTCCTAATGGCTTTATTGGCATCATAAGAACAAGTGAGTACAAGTCAGATTTTTGAAAAATATAAGGAAAACTGATGTAGCAAGTTACCAACATGAGAGCTATTCAAGCCTAGGCTGTATGGTCTCATGGCAGGAATGTTGTAGAACACATTTATGGATAAGGGTTGTGGGAAGAGAAAATTCAGGAATGTAAGGTCCTCTTAACACAGAGATTCTAGGAGTTTATGAGTATCTCTCTTGTGGGCTTCCTTTCTCATTTTACCCCCATCCCTATCTCATTGCCATCTGAACTGTAGGTCAGAGTAGGAAAAGACTGGTGTTAATCTTCCTAGGGATGAGGTGATGGTAAAAGCAGTTGATTCCATCCTTACATTTTTATAGGACTTTCCACAGATTTTGGCTTTTGTGCTATACAGCCTAGTTCCAGTTCCAGAATTGGCAGCCCTAGATAAAATAAACTTCTGAGTCTTGGGCAAAAGGGCTTTTAAAAAGCCATTAAAATCTGTTTAAATTTATTGGTTTTGGAGATAATTTAGAACCCCAAGAACCTAGATAAGTTTCTAGACCATAAGTTGGAAGACCTGAGTTCCTCATCTTTGAAAGAGGTAAAAGAAAAGTACCTGTATTACCCCAAAGTTTTGTCATAAGGATCAAATAAGAGAACACCTAAAAGGGCTTAGTAAACTGTATAGCACTAGGCAAATGAGAGAAGACCTCCCCACGAAAACTAGAGGACGGGTGACCCTGTGGAAAAAAGGACTTGAGAGTAAGATCCCACTGTCTCTGTGAGATGGTTTTCTAATCTATAACATGAGGGGAAATTTTTTAAAGTTTATTTTTATTTGTTTTGAGAGAGAGGTAGAGGGCAAGTGGGGGAGGGGAAGAGAAAGGGAGACAGAATCCCAAGAAGGCTCCACACTGTCAGCACAGAGCCTAATGAGGGGCTCAAACTAATGGACTGTGAGATCATGACCTGAGATGAAGTCAAGAGTCAGATGCTTAACCAACTGAGTCACCTAGGTGCCCCAAATGGGGAGAAATTTTAATGATATTTAATATTTGGGACTTTTGATTCCATGAGATGAGGTAGGACCATTTGTCATTTCCCCTGAGGAAGACAAGAAATGTGTCACTCCTTTTGTTCTCTCCCTTTAAACACTATGAAGGGAATTGTATCTGGGGCAGTTTAATATCAGATCTTGTCCAGGGCCATAGGGTTTTGTCTGATGTTACGTTTGGTCTGGGCAATGTAGCATTCTGTGGTCCCTTCTCAATAGGACTCATTTCTGAGTGCCCCTGTTGTCAAATTTCTATAGGGTCCGGTTGATGGATAGACTGTCCAATGAATCTATTATGTTGGTGGTGGAGTTGGTACGAGGAGCTCCAGAGCAGCTGCTGGCACTGACCCCACTCCACCGGGTGGCCCTGGCAGAGAAGGCACTACAAAACTTGGTAAGAGTCCAACCTACCAGACTCAGAACTGCTGCCTGGACAATTTTTACCTCTCAGACAATGCTCTCTATCTTCTAGGTAGGCCTACCCACACACTTTTGTTGCCAAATAGGTTCTTGTCCAGAAGGCCTTGCCCCCTAGATAATCTCTAGGTTCCATTCCTTGAGAACCTGCTTCATACTTTTTGTCCATATTCCTTGGAATCCAAGAAATGTCTTGGATTTCATCTCCTAGCTTTTCTGCCTGTTCCTATCTCGGCTCATTGTTTGTTTTTTTTTAAATATTTTTATTTATTTCTAGGAGAGAGAGAGAGAGACAGCGTGAGCAGGGGAGGGTCAGAGAGAGAGGGAGTCACAGACTCTGAAATAGGCTCCAGGTTCTGAGCTGGCAGTCAGCACAGAGCCTGACGCGGGGCTTGAACCCACGAACCGCGGGATCATGACCTAAGCGAAAGTCAGACGCTCAACCGACTAAGCCACCCAGGCGCCCCATGGGCTCATTATTTAGGAAAGTAAACAATGGCCGTGAACATGGTAGGGCCTTGAGTTGGGAGCTGGAGGGAGGGAAAATGAAAGGTTATGGTGTCTTGATCAAAGACTCTGGTCCTTTAAGTCAGAGATGCATTGTCCCAAGGCCTGATGCCCCCTCCAGGCTCCAAAGGAGACAACAGTCTCAAGGGAAGTGCTGGAGACATTGGGCCCCTTGGTTGGATTCCTGGGAAGAGAGAGTACACGACGGATCCCCCTACCGATCCTGCTGGGCCATCTCAATCAGCTGCAAGGCTTCTGCCTAGGAGAGCCTTTTGCCATAGAGCTGGGATGGTTCCTGTTGCAGGAGCCTGCTCTCGGGTATGAATTTGGAAACTTCTTACTCTAACTCGCCCTATACCCACCCTCTTAACTATCATCATCAGTGGCAGCTCACTGAATACACTCAAGGTCCCTTGGAGCCCTGAGTCCCCATGTCCTCTTTTCCCCTTCCTTTCCCTCACAGTTCTCTCAGCATCCCAGCCCCTGATCTTCTTCCTGTCCCCCAGGAAGCCAGAGTTGTGGAGCCAGGGAGAAGTAGAGCAAGCTGGACGCCTAGTACTCACTCTGTCTACTGAAGCTATTTCCTTGATCCCCAGGGTAAGGTGAAGGAACAAGGGAGGGAATAATAGCAGAGGGGGATTGGTGAGCTGGTTCTGGGGAGCTAAGGCCAAGAAGGCTGAGGGCAAGGGAGAGGATGTGAAGGTTGAATCTGGGGGAAACTACTAAAAAGAGAGAGGACTTTGAAATTACAGCTGCAGCAGCTGGCCCTCACCTGCCAGGTCTCCCCACCCTCCCTCTACCTTCTCACACAGGAGGCCTTGGGCCAAGAGACCCTGGAGCGGCTTCTAGAGAAGCAGCAGAGCTGGGAGCAGAGCAGAGTTGGACAGCTATGTGGAAAACCACAGCTTGCTCCCAAGAAAGCAGCCTTGGTAGCTGGGATTGTACGGCCCGCTGCAAATCTCCCAGGTGAAACTACCCAAATATTCATTATGTCTATCAGGGTGTATAGGAAAGAGTATCCAGAAACGTAGACAGAAGTCTAGGCTCTAGGTATGCTGTGCCCTTTGAGCAGATTTGCACACTTTCTGCTCTCTGGGCTTGGGTTTTCTCATCTATAAACCACAGTGGTTAGAAGGATGGTTGTCAAGGTCTTTTCTGGTTCTAAGGTTCTGTAGCCCTGGAAATTTATAGCCCATTACATTTTTATTCCAGGATTTCCCTTTCCCTGTTCTCTTATCCGTATTAACAGCTGACCCACTCTAGGCTTGGCTCTATGTTGGAGTATGGACCTGTCTGCTGGGAAGATGCTTAGGATGTAGGAGGAAGATGCTATGGAGCTAGAGACCTGAGTTCTGATCTAGACCTGCCGTTAAATCCCTGGGGAACCCCCTTAGCCTTCCATTTATGTAATGAGGGGATTGTCCTCTTTAGTCACTTGTTCTAATATCTCGAGTCATAATTCTTACACTATAGTAATCCTTTGGCCTATTACTGTCCATATTACTCTATCCTCCAAAGGTTGGAGGGGTCATTCCACCTATAGATATCTCTGTGGGCATAGTTCAATTCTACACTGATGCCCTGTGCCTGCCTTCCCCCTTCAGAACCTGTGCCGAATTGTGCAGATATACGAGGGACATTCCCAGCAGCCTGGTCAGCAACCCAGATTTCAGGGATGGAGCTCTCAGACTTTGAAGACTGCCTGGCATTATTCGCAGGAGACCCAGGACTTGGGCCTGAGGAACTACGGGCAGCGATGGGCAAGGCAAAACAGGTTAGGGATGGAGGGGCCAACATGAGGAAGCTGGTTGGGTGTGGTATGGGACACAAGGGAATGGATAGCTGGGTAAAAAGTGGAGGAAATAAAAGATAAAAGAATAAGAGTGTTTGGATCCTGAGTAGGAAGTCAGAGAGGATGAATGTGGAAGAAAGGAAATTAGTGCAATGGGTAGAGGGAAGAAAGCAGTGGTTATCAAACTTTAGTGTGTATCGAAATTATCTGGGGAGCAGGTTTTTAAAATGCTGATGCCAGGATCCCATGCTAGACTCCCTGAAGAATCTTGTTTTTTTCTTCTGTTTTTTGGGGGGAAGAATCTTCTGAGGACTCTGGGGGATTTGCATTTTAACAGGCATTCCCAGTGAGTCTGGTGCACATAAAATTTAGAACTTATGGACTACTATCTGCTATTCTTCCCTACTGAGTGAGACTAGCATTTTTCAGTAACACTTTAGTCAGAGGAACCTTAATCCAATCCTCTCATTTTACAGTTGAGGAAACTTTTAAAGACCCAGAGAGGCAAGTGATTTGCCTAGAGTTACACAGCTAAGGTCAGAGGCATGACTAAGACCCAGCATTCTGACTCCTAGTTCAGTGCTTTTCTACTCACATTGTTCCTCTCTTTCTCCTAGTTGTGGGGTCCTCCCCGGGGATTCCGTCCTGAGCAGATCCTGCAGCTAGGTCGGCTCTTAACAGGTCTAGGAGAACGGGAACTACAGGAGCTGATCCTAGTGGACTGGGGAGTGCTGAGCACCCTGGGGCAGATAGATGGCTGGAGCTCCATCCAGGTAACACTTTCCATTTTCCTACTACCTTCCAAATATCTGTTCCACATATCTAGGCCTCTAGGTCACCTAATGCCCAAATAACTTTTTTCCTTTCACCCTGCCTGGCCATTCTTTCTATTTTAAAATACCCCCTACTAGGGGGCCTGGGGTGGCTCAGTTGGTTAAGCACCCAACTTTGACTCAGGTCACCATCTCGTGGTTTGTGAGTTTGAGCTCCGCATCAGGCTCTTTGCTGACAGCTCAGAGCCTGGAGCCTGCTTCTACTTCTGTGAACCCCTCTTTCTTTGCCCCTCCCCCACTCATGCTCTGTCTTTCTCTTTCTCTCTCAAAAATAAACATTAAAAAAAAACACCCCCTACTTGTGGCCTTAGGAACTCTGTGATTTATTCACTTTGAGGCCCTGGACACATAAAACTCCCTCCTGCCTGTCTTCCCGAGGCCTTCTCTTTTTTGGATCCTCTCAACCTTCCTCATGGCTATTGGATCATCAGTTGCTAATAATACAAGTATATAATCCAGTAGCACAGTCTCTTCCCTAACCACTTCCTCATCCATGAATTCCTTGTGATTTCTCTCCTTATTCTGTGCCCTCCATCTCCATCCCAGCTTCGGGTTGTGGTCTCCAGTTTCTTGCGGCAGAGTGGCCGGCATGTGAGCCACCTGGACTTCCTTCACCTGACTGCACTGGGTTATACGCTCTGTGGACTTCGGCCAGAGGAGCTACAGCATATCAGCAGTTGGGAATTTAGGTCATTTGTGGAGGGGATGTGTGGGTGATGGTGCTCATGTAAAGGTGGATTCACTGGGGATGGAAGGCTCATGGAGGAGTGGCCCCATGGAGGAAGGGACCTCACTTGAAGCCATCTATACTCCCATCTCATGACCATTGACCCTATCATTGTGGCTGAATATATTCCCTTTCTTCCCACTTTTCCACAGCCAAGCAGCTCTTTTCCTGGGCAATCTACATCTCCAGTGTTCTGAAGAACAACTGGAAGTTCTGGCCCAGCTCCTTGTGCTGCCTGGTGGTTTCGGCCCAGTCAGTAACTGGGGGCCCGAGATCTTCACCGAAATTGGCACAATAGCAGGTAGGGAGGCTAGGCCACTGCAGGTGCTAGCTGTCAGAGGTTGGTTTCCCTACCATGGATGGACTGGGTGGAGGACTGCTCTGGAATTCTTAAGGTGGGAGTCAAAGAAGGCATTTAGGTAAGAGGTTGGAGATGTGTTGGGAAAGGTGTATGGAGGAGAAGTCTATAGGTTTGAAGAGGAGGGAGAAGGCCAGTATGAGACAATGTTTGGATGCCTATACCACTTGCTTCAACAGCGGGGATCCCAGACCTGGCTCTTTCAGCACTGCTGCAGGAACAGATCCAGGGCCTTACCCCTCTTGCTATTTCTGTCATCCCTGCTCCTAAATTTGCTGTAAGTATTAAAGGACCAGGGTCTGAGGTGACCACACAGAGCCAGGGCCCAATAGGGGCTACAATGGATGTAATGATTCCTGCCCCCCACCTCTAGGTGGTGTTCAGCCCTACCCAGCTATCTAGTCTCACAAGTGTTCAGGCTGTGGCTGTCACTCTTGAACAAATGGCCTTTCTGAGTCCTGAGCAGCGACGAGCAGTTGCATGGGCCCAGCATGAGGGGAAGGACATCCCAGAACAGCAGGGTGAGTTCCCAAATGCATAGCTTGCCCCTCCAACTTCTGACCCAGAATCTGACCCCAAACTTGATGCTATCTGGTTCATAGAACACATTCAGGGAGACCTCTGGAGCAAAGGGGACTAGGCAGAGTTTCCATTTATCAATGGTTTCTGGGAAACAGAGTTGTGATATTCCTCCCATTCTCTGTCTCATTATAGGTCGAAGCACAGCCTGGGGCCTTCAGGACTGGTCACAACCCTCCTGGGCCATGGCATTGACCATCTGCTTCCTTGGCAACCTGCTTTGAACCTGTCTCTACAGTTCAAGAGAAAGATTGTTGGGAAAGAAATTTTAATAAAGTGCAAATGGAAATGCATTCTAATTATCCTCAGGAAGCCGATGAGGAATATGGGTAAAATGCTAATGCCTTCCACCCACCTGAGAATCAGTGTTCCTGGCATGCCATATCTGGAGTCTTTCCATCATAAATAACCCCACTGCTTCTTTTCCTTTTCTGAAAGCTAGTCCCTCCTCATCCCAACCATTAGAAATAACACAGACAGCTAGAGCATAGCAAGGAGTCTTTACTAGGACAGAAGGGAGTTGGGGGGCATCCAGGGCAAGTAGAATGGGCCACATTAGAATGGGCAGAAGTCCTGGGGATCTTGAGTCATCTCCTGAGGATGGGGAATTAATGCTTATTGTGGATGAGAGGTGGAGGGATGCGGATATCCTGGCCTCTCTCCAGACGCCGTTCACAATCAATCAAATAGTTTACTCCATCGATGACCAGCTGCACCAGCTCCACCTGAAGGACACTAACCCTTGATCTCTGCTTCCCACAACTTGAGTTTACTTCTTTAGCACTGATTTGCCTGCTCTAGGAACTCATTTCCAATTGCCTCCCCACTCAATATGAATTTCATTTCAGATTCTATTACATTCCTGGGGCCCACTCACTGTCATAGCTCCACCCCCACAGACCTACACCTCTCGTCACTATAATCCCTAAGGATCTCACCTCTGACTTGCCCAGTCGGTCCAAATTAGAGATGTCAAAGACGCTGCCTGTGGCAGCTGTGTCCACTCCACCAGTGCCACGCTTTTGGAGTCTTAAGTTCTCCAGGATCTTTGGGAAGCGGCTATCCTAGAGGGGAGGAGATAGGGATTAGGGGCAGGGTCATTAGGGGCAGAGACTGGTCCTATCTAAGACTGGTCCCTTTCCCCTGATACTCTAGCAGCGATGTGTCTGATTCCCTTCCAAAATGGCCATACCCTCCCATCCACACACAGCAACCTTCCTTACTCATACCCCTCTCTAACCCCATAACTCCTTTACTTTGCTTAGTAGGGGCAGTTTGATGTGCACTCCTGCCCGAAGTCCAGTGCCCAGGTTAGATGGACAGGTCAAGATGTATCCCAAACGCTCATTCCACATGAACTCCCAGCCACGCTCCTGGATCAGCCGCTCCACCTGAGTCCACAAAGGCTCTGTTAGTGAAAAGTCAGGGATATTTGAACCCTCCCTTAGCCAGACCTACAAGAACTCTAGAAATATATCTAGAATGAGAAACTTGGACAGTGAAAGAATGACACTGCTGTTTGTGTGTGGGGGGGTGGGGGGAATGGTTTGTTATTATCATGTATACAAGATAATTTTAATGTTGCAAGCACATAATGGTGGAATTACAGAAAGTATCTTGTGTGTGGAAAAAGAGAAACTTGAGGGAATGATGCACTAAGGATGATCTAGGGAAATGAGTGGAGGTGGTAAACTGAACTGAGAAAGGAATGATTATTCAATGAGCTCAGCATGCATGGATTATCTTTGCTTTGCTAATGAGCCTAGAGTCTGGAAGGGTTCTTTCACACATAAAATGAGGGTGTAGGCTTTGCAACAGGAAGAGGCAAGAAAGCCTTCTGTTAGCTGTGGAAAGAGCACATGTGAGAAGGCAGAAAGAAAAGTGAAAACAGTCCAGAGGAGCCGGACTCATAGTTATGTGTATGTGTGAGGGGGTGGGGAGGGGAGAGTGGGAAGAGTGTTTTGTTTCACTAGAGCAACCTAATGATGGAGATGACTATTAGAGTTCAAGAGACAGGGTATCTGCCAGAAGGATGGATGTGAAGACCACCTAATATGAGTAAAGAGGACCCTGTTTATAGTTCAGGGGGAAAAAACCAAACTATGGCATAGGGGGTCATCTTACATGCTGAACAAAGGGAAACCCTTCCATCTAGAAAAATAATAGGAGCTAACACTTCTTGAACATTTATTATGCACTAGGCATTTTACATGTATTATCTCATTTAATCCCCACAACAATTATCTCATTTAATCCCCACAACAACCTAAAATGTAGGAAGCCTTATTATCCCAATTTTACAGATGAAAAACCTGAGGCATATCATTTGAAAAGTACTTCCCTACCCACTTATCATCAGAATATGTTATCTGTTATTTGCCAAAAACAATAAAAACTTTCCAGCTAGAATCTAAAAGAAGAGAAGCTGTCTGTCTTTACAAGTCCAAAATAGAACTGTACGTATGAGAACATACAATAAAAATTGGGTCTATGGGGATTTCTAATCTAGAATATAATATGGAGACCTAATCCATATATGATTGAGGATTCAGTAGAGCCACACATTCTGGAACTTAACCCATCCCATCATCCGTTTCCCCAGTCTCCCTCCTGCTCTCAGCTTAAAACCTAGACATGATACTTTAGCGAGAATGACAGAATCCAGAGCCAAGGCCTGCCTTGGTTCAGAACTGGATGGTTACACTGGAATCATGAATACCTCAATCTTTCACTCCCTATGTTGATTCAGGCTCAAACTTTACCTTATCTGCATACTTCACATACCCCAGGCATTGACCCACAAGCTTAATTATTCCATCTTTGTCTTATCTGACAACTGTTTTATTTACTACCTTAGATTCATGACATTTTTTCTCTTTCTATTCTTTGGTGACCATATATCCTGGTTTTCCCTGGATAGTCCTGATATATTGTCCTGGACTGACTAATGGTGATCCCTTTTGCTATCAAAAGTGTCCTAAGTTGGTTGATACATTATATGGTCTAGTCCTTGGTTTTTCCTTATGTCCTCCCACCTAGTTCTCTTATACATTCTTTTCCAACCTCTTTGAGGCCTCGGCAGAATCTTTCAAACACTTTCTTCATGTTGCCACCCTTCTCCATGGAGATGACCCGTGTATGATCCTCTTCATTCACCCAGATCAAGAAGCTCTTCTCATTGTTGTGCCTGAGAGCAGAAAAGAGGAAATGACAGGGATGAAGAGGCAGGACAAGAACTGGGAGAGATAGAGGAATAAAAGGCATTTACAGGGAATGGAGAAAAAAGAGGTAAGGTAAGCCTCATACCAGATTCCACGAGCATCTGGCCAGTCTCGAGCCATTCCTGCTGCAGTCAGCAGTGGGGACACAGGCTTATCAAATAGGAAGTGGTCCTGAGGGGAGTAAAAGTACTTGGGTTAAGAATCTTCACAGTAGCCCCTGGGCCTCTATCTCATCTGACCCACCCTACCCTCTGACTCTTCTTTCCATCTGCTTCCTCAAACCAGCTCCTTCTCAAGGCCCCTCACATCAATAAGCTGCTGCTGTTCAGCCTCTGTCATCTCACTGAGCCGATAGTAACTTCCAGCCAGGTCACCCTTCAGGCCACTCAATGCATCCACTACAACACGTTCCACCTCTCGTCGCTCTGCCCGAGTGCAGGCTGGAGGAAGGCTGAGTCCCCGGATACTTCGGCCAGTTCTGACTCTTGAGGACATTACATACCTCTCATCAAAGTAGCCAGAACGGATCTAGGGAATAAGAGAAATTATTATAACTCACAGAAACACAGTGGGTGGGAACTGAGGGCCTTGGGAAAGTGGAGACTTTAAAGACTGTAGGGGTCTTCACTGCATGCATTGGAAGGAGAAGTTCATTGGGTAAGCACTCCAGTAGAAGGGGGCAAACTGTCCACTTTGGAGTACAGTCATTCTCCTCCACCCTTTTCTCTCCCCTCCCCTCCTCTCTCTCCCCATAATTGCTCCTTAAGATACAATTCTTCCCCCCACACCAATACTAAAAGCTCAGCAGTATAATGACTCTGAGTCAGGAAATAATTGAGGTGAAGGATTGGAGAAATAGAATGCTGTATATAAGGCAATGCAAATCAGAAGTGGAATATCTGTCCTACCTTGCTGGCATCCAAGTCAGTGGTATGTTTCATCGTTCGAGGGTCGTATCCATTGTGTCGCTCTTGTATCACAGGATCAAACAGCTCAGCAAATACCTGATGGGGAATTAAGACGGAGAGGGTAGTTAAGGATAAGGAATCCCTTTACAGGCCTTAGTTGTGGGTTGATTTCACTGGGTCAGAAAACATGAGTATGGAAGGTCCAGCCTTAAGGGAAAGTGAAGGGTCTTTAGGGGGAAGGAGCTGGGATTACTGGGAAGATGAGTTGGGTCACCAGGGAAACTCTGGGGGCCCCCTACCTCATAGGTCTCCTCATCTCCAGCTACCATGCCCACAGTCTTGATGAAGGGGTGGCCGGGGTTGTCCACGCCAGTCTGGATACACTGATCTAGCGTCCAACCAGTGGGTGTGGTCTTGTCGCAGAGCCGGGCATAGACTGCTGGGGTCAGGTGACTGGCCATGCAGTTGTTGTGCTTTCGGAGGTCTGGGTACTCAGCGCTAGGGAGGGGGTACCCAGTAACCATGGAGGAGAGCACCGGGGGCCTAGACCCAGTGCAGTCAGCTGGGAGCTATCCAGTTAGCCATGCCTGGCTTTGCTCCTTGGGAGGAGGGGAGATTAGAGGGAGGCTAAACCTTGGTAATCTCTTTAGGGACTTTCAGAGTCTATTATTTCCCAACAGTTCTAGCTTCCTCTGGCTGGGGGGCACAATTCCCCCAGATTTGCTCAGTTCTTTCCTAGCATTAGCACAACATTAAGGATGGGGGAAGGGAAAGACCAAGGAGGGAAATTCAGGAAAGGGGGGGGGGGGAAGGACAGCAGGAAACGAGATGGAGGAGAGCAAAAAGGATAGTTCCTGGTTTCCCAATTAGGGCTTTGGGCAGAGTGTGTGCAGCCAGAACTTACAGGGCCAGAGCAGGTCTTGGGGGCGGGGACTGCGGGTTACAGGTTCCCAGAAATGCGTTAGCCTTATGGTTTTGGCTTCCATCCCCAACCCACTGTGGTCTCCAGATTGTACAGCACTCCACTTCAGAGCCTTCGTGATCATAACCCTTCTTTTTGCCCAGGTCCTCATCTCCATCCCCATCTTCGTTCCTGTCACCACCTCCAACCCCCCCACCCCCACCCCTGTGCCTCAGACACTGATACCTTGGGGGATACAGTCTCCGTCGTTCACTGGCGGCCCTTATAGGTTCCGGGCGGAGCAGAAACCCAGCGGCTAGAGACCCAGCTCCAGCCAAAGCAAGGAGCCTGAGTCCCGGGCGGGCGGACAGCAGTCGAGAGAAGGGACCAGCCATGGCTTGAGGGTCCGGCTATGGAATCCCGGTGCGGGATTTGGCGCAGGGCAGGAACAGGGAGGGAGGATGCAACCAGGAGACTGAGGACTGGAGCTGGGTGAGAGGCTGGAGCCGAAATGGGGGCCGGATTGGAAGCTGGAGGAGGAGAGGAAGACGGTACCAAACAGACTGCAGGAGAGGCGCAATGAGCTAACGGCTGGCGGGCGGAGGAGAGGGAGGCCCCAGCCGCAGTCTCCAGGGGTGGGGCTCATGCAGGCCCCGCCTTTCCGCCTGCCACCGAGCTAGGTATGCGGGGGCAGAGGTGGGAAGCACCGCCAGGTAAATTAGGGGACCCGAGCTTCGCAACCTAGGCCGGGGATGCCGGCCCACCTGGGATGAGGTCGCCCAGATTTCAGCACCACGTAGAGGACAGCACCCAACGGGACCCGCAAAGCCTAACACCCTTCCCCCAAGCCTTTCGGTTTAATCGGAAACCCGATTCGTCACTCTGTGGTTGTGAAAGGGTGACATTGCTCAACCTCTCTCTAGTTTTCGGCCTTCCCCAGCCACCTCTCCATATTCCCAGGGGAGGCGGCCGCGGGAGAAACCGTGGAATAAATACAGATACCAGAGAAAGAAATGGAGAAATCACACAGAAGCACACATTGGAAAAGACACCCAGTGACTCAAGGTCACCTTTGCCTTAGAACCAGGAAGAGGACCCATGTGCCCTACTGCCATACCTGCGCTATTCTTAAAAGGTTGTGGAAGGACTCCCTGAGACCAACCAGCGAAACATTAATTCTTACCCCATTTATGCTGTGTTCCCTGCTCCCACTCTGCTCCCACATAGCCCTGCTATGTCCTGCCCCCACTTCTCACGATCCCTAGCTTTTTTCTCCTCCACCCTCCTCCCCATTTTCTACTTCACCTTTGATCTTTTACTTCCTTGTGTTTTATCCAGGTTCAGGACTATTTTCTGCTCACAGGACTCCCTCTGAGTATTCTCTGCAAACTTGCCTACCTGTTGGTTGCACTGGGTGTAGAGCTGGAATTGGGCAAGGAATTGTTTCCTCTTCCTCCTTTCCCTTCTCTCCCCTCTTTGTAGTTTCCAGTTCCTGGGCTGGAGGGGAGTGTAAGGTGAGGTGAAAGGTGTGGTAAGATGACGGCGTAGCAACAGAACAGGCAGGCACAGGTCTCCAACCACCACAGGTGTTTCCTCTCCTGGCTCCCTAATGCTGTTTAATCCACAGTGTAAGGGAAAGTGGTGTTCAAGTCCAGGGACTCTATACCTTCCTACTGGTCTTTTGTCCTTTCTCTACACAAGATATGTATTCAGATTTGAGAGGGTGTGTTCCCACAGCTCAAAGTGTGACTTAGGTGTGACTTGACCTTTGTCCTGGCAGTAAAGAGAATGAATGCTGGAGCCAAAATGGAGATGTGGGGCTTCATATGGAAAGTCAGTTAAGGTTAGGTAGGCATGGTGGTGTTAGTCCCTTCTCTGAGCCATCTTGGTGATAGTAGGATACTTGGAAATCTTATTTGAGAAAGAGAAATTCCCTTCACATTGTCCTCTGGCCCCACTGATAAGATGCCACCCTACTCCTATACTTTCATTCCCTTCATTACTCTCAGGATTTTTTTGTGTTCCTTTTCCTCTCTTATTCATTTGTATCCTTCAAAGCTATCCACCACTCTTCTGTGTCCATCACTTAATTCCTTCTTCTGGTAAGAGAGCAATTATCAGAGAACTGATAGAGTTCTGTAGTCAGAGTCACTTTTGGAGAGATGGAAAATGTTACCTGTGTTGTGGGGACTCATTGTCTAGGTTACGGAGTAGTTATGAGCAAGCAAATATAATTACTTGGAATGGTATATATTTACCTAGATAAAGAAGGGAGATAATCTTCCAAAGAAGAAGGTTGGTGTTATTTGATTAAGAGGTTGGTTACTAAGATTAAAGAAGTAAGGAAGAAGAAGAGAGAATTACAAAAGGAAAAATAAGACTTAGCCTGATAAATCACTCAAGTTTGGAGACTAGCTGTCCAAATTTGTGTAATAGCTCCTTTGAGAAAAGACATGTATTTGTGTACCTTTCTTATTCCCTGTGAATCTCTGATAGCCACATAATATATTAAGGTTCATTTAAAATAAACATCCTATGGCATACAGGAAGTAATTGATACACATGTATTTGATTTATTTAATGATAATAATTATCAAGACTAACATTTATAAAACACTTTACAATTATAAGAAACTCTTGTATGTGTTATTTCATTGAATTGGATTGTTCCAATGGATGATCAGGGACCGAGTCTACATTTTTGGGGGGGGGGCAGGGCGAGAAGACAAGTTAATTACTTAGAAGATGTTTTAATAACTTGTTTGAAGGGCTGGAGTGGTGGAGAGGACATGAGCCTGAGCATGAACTAGGGAGGTATCTATTTCCCTTAGGGACAGTCCTTAGCTTCATCCCTATCTCATTCAGGACGCCTTGGGATCAGTATAATGAGGCACCTGACTGAAAAAGTGGTAAGATGCCTAAGGTTGCAGAGAAGAAACAGGGAACTTGGGATTGTCTTGATCAGGGAAACCTAAGTAAGGATAAAAAGATAATAATAAAAATGCAAACATGTACAAAATTGCCTTCATATAATCAGCACCATATGATTAGATTAAACATTTTTAACATTTTTTTTTTTGAGAGACAGAACATAAGCGGGGGAGGGGTGGAGAGGGGGACACACAGAATCCAAAGCAGGCTCCAGACTGAGCTGTCAGCACAGAGCCAGATGCAGGGCTTGAACCCATGAACCAGGTGATCATGACCTGAGCCAAAGTCAGACACTTAACCTACTGAGCCACCCAGATGCTCCCATATGTTTAGATTTTTAAAGCACTCTCTTATGGATGAGGAAATGGAGGCTGAGGGAAGTTCAGTGACTTGTCCAAAGCTACACAGCTATTAAAGGCAAGGCCAGGATTCAATCCAGGTTTGTCTGGTTCCAAGGCTGGAGGGGTAAAGAACATGCCCACAGTGTGGATATGGGAATAATCTTGCCCAGTCTGCCAGGAATATCCATTTTCTTGTCTACTCCATAAGTAAGTCTTTGTTCTTTCCCTTAACCTTCTGATTTGTTTCTCTCTCTTTTTGTCTCCAGTCTACCTATCACTCCTCTACATCTGATAACATTTTCAACCAACATTTATTGGTTGAAACCATACCCCTTTTGTTTTAAAAATCAGAGGGGCGCCTGAGTGGCTCAGTCTTATTAAGCGTCCGACTTTGGCTCAGGTCATGATCTCACCCGTTCCTGGGTTCAAGCCTCGCGCCGGGCTCCGTGCTGACAGCTCAGAACCTGGAGCTTACTTCACATTCTGTGTCTCCGTCTCTCTCTGCACCTCTCTTGCTCGTGCTGTCTCTCTCATAAAAATCAACATTAAAAATGTTTTAAAAATAAAAAACAATAAAAATCAAACAGAAAATCTGGTTTGTCTCAGGACTTGCAATGGCACAAATTGTACCTGTTTTCTGCATCTTGCTTCTTCTCTGCTTTTCGTCTCACTGGAAAGTCACTGTCTAGACCAAGTATCTGGGCTGTGGCGACGCAGAAATCAGAGGAAGGGGAACATCAGGTTGCACTCCCTTCCCTCGGCCACTAGGGGCCACCCTCCTCCACGAAGAAGTGCGGGCCAACGCAGCCTGACTCTGCTGCCGGTGCGCGCCTTCCGCTGATTGGTGACACCGCAGAGAAGCCGCGCTTTGATTGGGCTGCTGTCAGGTGTCACTGCCGGCAGGTTCGGCTGTGCGAGCGCAGGGAGGCGGGTGAGCGAGGGCCGGGGGCGGTGGGGGAGTGGCTGGGGGCTGGGGGCGGTATCTGAGGGGGTGGGCTGGATAGAGTGGGCTTGCTTGGTGCGGAGGGCCGTGGTTAGTACTGGCGGGGGGCGGCTTCGGGAAGAGGCCCGGCAGGGAGGCCTCAATGTCAGCGTAGCGAGAGGAAGGAGGAGAAGGCGGGGGCGGGCAAATGCTGATGGAGACGCATCGGAGGGCAGTATTCGTGACCGGGAGCTGTGTGAGGAGAGACACCGGAGGGGGTCAGCAAGAGAAGAGAGGGGTGTGATGATTTGCGGGAGCATGAGGGAGTCCTGCGTGAGGAGCGGACTCAGCCGGGGAGAGAGTCAGGGTGGGGAAGTCTGTGAGGAGAGGTGGAATGGAGTCGGGACTCAGGACAGGATCAGCAGCAGGCGGGGGGTTGTTGCAGAGTGGAGGGGACCCTGGAGAGACCTAATATGAGGACGGAATGGATCTAAGGCAGTCTTTGTGGGAGATCATTGAGTGTTCCATATAAATTGTTACCAAGTGTGGTGACTCATCTGCGGGTTCGGAGGGCTGTTTAATGCTGGAGAATCACTGACTTGAGAGGATTAGTTGGATTACTAATTGGATTAGTTGATCAGTGATGGGGGAGGGGCAGCAGTGTCGCGAGTGTTTGGGGGAGGGTCCATGGAGAGTCATTGTTGCAAGACAGGGAAATAAGGGAGCGTGGAGTTTCAGCCCAATTCATCCGTGTCAGAATAAGGGTATGTGTGAAGAATTAAACGTTGCATCCAGAAAGAATTTAGGGGTCCACTGTTGAAGGTGGGAAGGAGCTAGTGTTGATGGCCTGAGGAGTTTTACTGTTTTGAAAATAATCCCGCCTGGGCTCTGTATTGATGTGTCCCCTCCACCACTAATGGTGCTCTCTATTAAGTGCATGGTGATTAAGGAAATTAGAGGACTACTGCTAACAGCCCTAAATTCTAAGTGATAAAGAAGTCACACAGTTTATCCTCCCTTCTGCCCCACCCTTTCTTCTTACCTACTTATCTTCTCCCCTCCTCCCACCCTCCCTTTTTTCCTTCATCTGCATTGATTCAGCCAAGGGAGTGAGACTGCCCTTTAGCCTAGTGTAGAGTGTGGAGTTTTCTTTTGCAACAAAGTATTGAAGGAGAGGGGGATGGGAAGAAGGGCCTGGAAAACAGGGAATGGCTCTTGGAATACCATATTAAATCCCACCTTCTCTCAAGGGTATATTTAAATAAATCCTGCCTTATTTCATAGCTGTCTCTGTCAAGATTCTGTTTTTGCTTTGTCAACTATGAATTTAGGCCTTTACATCTCTCTTTGGCCCCCTAAAGAGTCTCAGAAGAGACTCTTCCTCATTCTTTTACCACCCCCTGTTATGGAGTTGTAATAGATTTGCAGGAAAAATGACTATATACATTCAGTAGAAAATCAGGAAGGACTTAATGGAAAAAAAGGGTGAAGGGTCAGGAATCTTAGACATGAGGGAAAGCCCCTGCTTCAGATAAAGGAAAAAGAGTACAACAAAATTCTGCCTGCTTAAACTATACAGGGACCTTGGGAATGCCACAAGTCATGGAAATTGGGTCAGGTCACTATAAAGGAGTTCAAAGATAAAACCTGCAGTATGAAACTGGAGATGTTAAGTCTAAGGAGAATGTTGTGACTGACCTGTGGAGACAAGACTGGGAAGGCCAAAGTCTATAAAAAGATTAGCTATAACTTTCTAATCAAAGCTGCAAATCCCACTGGGAATGGTAAGGGTTTAAAATAAAATACAAAATGTAATTGTTGAAGACTATTTTATAAGTCTGTTAAGACTAAATCCATTTACTTAGGATGTTTGTGGTTTTCATTACAGTCATTAGTATTTATGGGAACTTTTGGGAATGTGAAAAATTGCTGCTTGGTGACTCAATATTTTTTTGAAAAAAAAAAACATACCATAGTATCCTCACAATTTGGTATTAACAAATGTTAACCTTTTGTGTATTTGTTTCACATTTAAAAAAAATTAAACATTACAGATAAGGTTGTAAAGTTCCACTCAAATCCTTCTCAGTTCCATTTTACCCTCTCCTTAGAGGTAACCACTATTATGAATTTGGTGCCTTTCTTTCCAGTCCATATTTTTAGACCTCTACTAATTATGTATACTTTTATAAATATATGTGATATTTTTTATTTATGTAAACTGAATTGTACTGCATGTGTATTTCTGCAGTTTACGTTTGGAAGCTGTCCATATTGTTAGACATCTTTTTTTGAGAGAGTGAGCATGAGTGGAAGAGGGGCAGAGAGAAGGAGAGAGACTCCCAAGCAGGCTCGGCACTGTCAGCACAGAGCCTGATGTAGGGCTCAAACTCATGAGCTGTGAGATCATGACCTGACACTTAACTGACTGAGCCAAGCAGTTGCCCCTGATTAATTTTTT